TATGAGAGTATGTATAATCAGAAAAGATGAGTAGATTAATATGATTATAAGAATAAGAATAATATGACGATAAGAGCAGAAATGTGAGTAAAAAAATTAAGCTAAAAGGAGGATTCAATATCTCATCAGAGCGTTCAGGAAAACACCAAACAAACTAAGTATTAATATGCTGAAATGAATATTATTCCGTCCTGATCAATGTCTCTGAAAGTGTTCCAAGACTACGTGACGAATAAAAATCTATTTCTTTCGTCCCTCAAATCAGCTTTCAGTGCACAAAGGGAGATGATTACTTTCACCTCTAATACTTAGAAAATGTGTTTGTTTAAATTTCAAAAACTTATTTTCGTACCTAAATCATCCTCAATGTACTCTAAATAATAATAGATTCTTTCATTACTTGAGATAAAATGTGGGATACTGGCGTATCGAAAAGACTCCAAGAACATAAAATAGGTTTAAAGACTAACGCAGGTAATTTACGTAACGACAAAGGAAATCAGCTACATGAAGATGCTTAAGAACATCGATCCTCACCTCCTGGCCAGGTCCACAGGAAAAAAGAGGATTACCTACGTGAGTTGATGCGATCGAGAAGAAGAAGAAGAAGACTCACGTGTGTTACATAAAAGAGTAGCAACAAAGGAGAATACTGTTCAAGCATATTATTTTCAGAAGACGCATTATTGTAAAATATTCTTATGATCAGGGAATAGAAAATTTCAAAGTAAATAATCACACAAGTTGAAATGTTAGCATTATCATAGTCCATGGTTAAATGTGTTGGATCATGTGTTTATGATGGAAGAAAGATATATACGAACATTAGAAAATATGTGTAAAGAATTGGGAACCTGTGAAAATTAATCGCACAAGAAGGACGTATAAAAATGTTGTTAAAGTAAGCAAAATACAAGGATGAATCAAATGTATCACGACCCGATAGGATCAGGTGCTTATTAGATTTTAAGCATATTATATGGATTAATGGCTTTCATGTAAAAGCATGTTCATTTGTTTTGCTTTTGTTTGAAATATTAAACTACTTTTTTAATTTAAAAAAAGACAGATAATAAAAATAAAAAAAAGTGTCAGAGGTAAAATAAACGAGGAAATGGCTACCAAAGTTTGGGGGATTTCCAAAGCTTGAGTGTTCATGGAAACTGGGAATGTACACCTTGTGTTTCTTTCATCATACTTTTTTTGGGGTAAATTCATACGTCTTTGCACTGTACATGCACAATATTTACGAATTTTTTAGGGGACGCTCGAGGGTGTGGGTAGGGGGGTGGGGGTGGGGGGCGTGGGTAATGCTTAAGAATCTATATTAAATAAAACCCACTAAAACGAATCAGTTTGTTTTTTGTTTTTGTTTTTGTTTTCTTTTTTTGTTTTTTTGTGTGGTTTTTTGTTGGCTCCTTTTATCAAAGTATTTTAAAAAATTTAATCCATATCTGGCTTATTGGCTTCTCTTGTAATAAAGAATGCGGGCAATAATGAATAATAAAATCACCAAAAAATTAGCCAAAATCAATAATAACGTAAGATCACAAGAACAATAAACTTAAATAACATAATATGTGAGGCGGCGTGGTGGAATCAGGCTGTCGTCAATTTTTGGGCATGTAGAGTTGTTGGTATCATCTTAAAGCTTGTTCACCTGTTTTTATTTCAATGAAAAAAATGGCCATTTATCTTGAATGCAAGTCGAAATATTTGCAATTGAAGGAGGTGGGGGATCACCTGTTTTTAGAGGTAAAATTAGAAAGAAAATGGCGTCAAAGATTAGTTATTTTCTTAGCTTAAGAGTCTGTGGTAACTGAATTAAAAAATGTTTACCTTTAATCAACGTTTTTCAGAAAAATACTCACAGAAATGAGTTTTTTAATGGGCATGGAAGGTGTTGAGCCAAAATTTAATAAAAATTCACAAACCTGTGGAAAAAAGGAGGTTCCTTCACTTTGATTATTTCGACGAGAGCCTTATTCCACTACGCTGCCTCACATAATCCTTTACACACACACACACACACACGCACACACACACACACATACACACACACACACACTCACACACACACAAACACACACACACGTAGTATGCTATCTTCTCTCTCTTTCTCTCTCTCTCTCTCTCTCTCTCTCTCTCTCTCTCTCTCTCTCTCTCTCTCTCTCTCTCTCTCTTTCACAAATATCGCAAATCGTAATCCATGATTAGTCGAGGCAAAATAGAGACAAAATGTCATAATAACCAAAACAGAAACCTTTATGAAAAAAAGTGTGTCTGCACAACATTAACAAAATACGACTACATTTCTTAAAAAGTTTTCTTCATCAGGGTCAGCAAGATTGAATCTTGGCACGGGCATTCCGTCTGTCTGATGTCTTGATTTGTCTGGGACGGGTTGTTCTTGCATTTCATTAAATCTCCACTATCTGAACAATATGTGAAATTCATTTTTCAGCGCATTTCTTATCAAGCTGGTGGCAGACAATCTTGTCAGACTACTTCAAACACAATAGATATGTTTAAAATGATTTTTAAAAAGTCCGGAATCTTCTGAGTAATACTCCAACAAGGACTCTACGGCAAAGAAAGGTTATTATGTTCATATTATATATATA